CGCCAGGCTCCTGCAGTATGAACAGCTTTTCCATCAGCTAGCTGCTGAAGCAGGGGTGGCTCCTCAAGCATCCGGGTCCTTTGGTGCCTGGCAGCCAGCAGTACCCCACAGCCAGCAGCTTCCCCCAGCACCTCAGGTGACTTCATATTAAGTGCCTTCACAGAGACACCACCTCCTGAACAACTTTCTCTGCACCCTGGAGAGTTGATTTACAGTAAGTTCCAGAGAGAGAATTTCCAGCAAATTCCACTGATGCAGTTACTCCTCTCCCATCCAGTGGGCCACAGCCAACAGTGTCTGGATTTCAGCGTGGATTTGGGGTAGGGGGTCAGGTTGGGAGAGCATCCCGGAGCCTCCATCTCAACCCCGGATGTGATAGATGCTCCTAATATCTGCTATTACTATATCTTTAGAGTTCTCTTTCCTTATTTCCAGCCATCTCCTCATTAATCTTGTTATAGTTAATAATTTTTATATTAACTTTTTCACGTTCAAATTAGTGCATAGATTCTCTCTTCTGATTGGACCCTGACTGATACATACAACATCACACATCTGGAAGGAAATTTAAAAGACTGTTTGGAAATGGTTGGATAATGGAAACCAACTTCCCAATTTCCACCCAATTGCTTGGCAGAGTTTTGTGCATGGTGAGTAATTATCTCCATCTACCTCACGGCTGTCTGTCTCCAGCTGAAGAACCTAGAAAACACAGTCTCTCCCAACTGCTGGGATGCAGAGCCCAGTGGAGCACCTCTGCCTTGGGATGCATGATGATAGACAAGCCCTCCAAGATATGAAAAGAATCCCCGAGCAGAATCAGGAACCTTCTGGAGGTTCCTCCAGTACCAACATCCTTCCCACAAAACAAATGTTTTTTTAAATTTTCATTATTCACCTGATTACATACAACTGGAGACACTAAAGCATTTGGATTAGGCGGTATTACCTAATGATTCTAAATATGAGCTTTTGAGTCAAACATTCTTATCACTGACTAGCTCTATGACCTTGGGCAAGTTACCTAAACTTTCTTGAGTCTCGGTTTTATCATCTGTGAAATCCTCATAGAACTTACTTCCACAGAGCTGTTGTGAGGATTAAATGAAATGATACATTTGGTAAAGAATTATGCAATATGACAGAGACTTTCACCTGGCACCTGGGAATGTGATGGTGGTTGTGCTGATTGGAAAGTACAAAACCACATTCTCATCTGCTTGTTTAATCAATGTACTGCCAAGTACAAGTCCACTTGTAACCAAGTTCGTGACCAGTTTGGGTCCCAATAGTTGGGGCCTGTGCCATTTCCATGGGTAGCTGCTGCCGTGTCTACGCTCCCCTCCTCGGCCTCAGCTCCGACTTGCATCACCAACTTCAGACCTGAGGAGTCACAAGGAAAGGTCAATTCTTGAGACACATGACCTCTAGAGACAGTTTATCAGAAAAGTCTAGAAAGCTCTGTCTGAGACTAAAATAATGTGAACCACGTGTGTACTGGTCACATTTTAAAAAGTAAAACTAAAGAGGTAAACATAATTGTAATAATATAGTTTAACTATTTATATGTAATATAGGTAATATTGTTACTTTAAAATGTAATCAATATTTAAAATACTATTGAAATATCTGTCTTTTTTCCAGTCTCTGAGATCCAGTATGTGTTGTACACTTACAACATTTCTCAGTTCAGGCCAATCACATCGAGTGCACAATAACCCCATGCTGCGAGTGACCACCATATTGAACAGAATAGTTATAGATCAGCTCACTTAGCCACCTCATTAAAAAAAAAAAAAAAAAAAAAAGGACACAGAAGCTCAAAGAAGCCTTATGAATGTCCTTTCTAAGTCACACAGGTAGACAGTAGCAAATCAGGACCGGAATCGGAGGCACCCGACACCTGGGTTTAAAACTCGACCGTGCCCTTTATTAGCTGTGTGGCTCGGGGCAAATTTCCTTACCTCTCTGAGCTTCAACTTCCTTTTCTATAAAATAGAAATAATAATATATTCTCAAGAGTTGTGCTAAGAATTACATAAGGGAATGGATGTAAAGCACTTAGCCCACAGCAAGCACTGGCTAACTGGAGTAATAAGATACCACAGTGGACTTCACGAACCACACCGCCTTTCATCCAGCCTCAGCCTAATCTAGTGGCAGGCACAGAGGGGCAGCCTTGCACTGCACAGGACTGGCTTTGGATGTGGCCTTAGCCGAACCAGCAAGGACACTGTTTTCATGCTGCACATGCCGATCCAAGCTCTAGCCCTGCTCTTCTTCTGTTTCCAAGTTAAAAAACAAAAAGATGACTTTCTTTTCAAGATTCTTTCTCTTCATAAAGGAACCACGATGAATTTTTTAAATTTCAGCAAGAAAGAAGTTATAGGAAGAGTCACTGAGTGCCCCACCCAGCCCAGTCCCCAGTGACTCAGGGCCCCTGACTCACCCAGCTTCCCTACTGACCTTCCTTGCCCAGCCAGAAGCTACAGGGCTAGCTCAAAGGGAGATAATGTCATTTGTTGACATTTCCCAGGTGACAACAAAGTCAAGTTCTCTTTTAGGGATCTAAGTCTTTGCATATAATTAGTAGATCAAATTACCCTCAGGGAATTGAGGCTTGGCATGCTTGAGTGTCAGGGGAACCATAGCCTCCCAAGGCAGGGAGGGGGCTGAACCCCCACACCTCTCTGGGCCTTTCTTTATTCAAGAATCTCAAACAGAGCAGTGAATGAAGGCGGAGCAGAGGCTTCCAGGCTCTACTCATTTATCTTAGAAATTGACTTTCACGGATCCATACTCTGGAAGTTAGAGTATAAACTGAGATCGGCAAATAGAACATTTTCATTTTCAGTGAACAGGTGCCTATTAGGCATCCTAACGTCTGTAATATGTAGGCATTAAAATTATTTTTAAATTTCAAGAAATTTACAATCTATTTTGGAAGAAGATGTGGAAGAAGTAGGTGAACCTAATGTAGATGGCAATATGATACGTGTTATGTATTTATTAATTATCGGTACGTAGTTACATCTATAGAATTATTAATAGAACATAAGATTGTTAATTAAAAGAATTAAAGATATGCTACCACAAGGGCTTAGGAATACAGAGGTGTGACATAGCGTCAGGCTGGAGTGACAGGAGAAGGTAGAGTTTGAAAGATCAGCCGAATTTAAGTGAAATGGAAGGAAATGACAGAGGAGAGTGTGGAGAGGTGACCGGAGGTGAGACTCGGGGGCTGAGAGTCACGGCATGTCTAGAGGAAAGAGGAGATGGGGGAGGCTGAAGAGGAGGAGGAGGTGGGATGTAGGCTGCAGAGGTGGGTTGTGCCCTATTTTGTCAATGGGCCATTTCAGCATTCATTCCACCCAAGCCTTACACTGGGCCTCAGAGAGGGCATCGTTTGCAAAGCCCCCACCAGGCCCCTGCCCCAGCCTAACCGCCAGTGTGGTCACATTTTACTTTTATGGTAACTGGGCTTCTCACTCGGAGGACATCTCACCCTTCCTCTTGCGTTTCTAACCACAGAGCGAGTTGCCCACAATGGAGTGAGCAATGCAGATTTGACCTTGACATACAGAATCAACAGCAAGAACAAGAAAAAAAGTGAAAAATAGGAGAAGATACATTGGAGGTTGACTAAGAAAAGAATGCCTGGGCAATCACTGCCCCTAGAGTTCTTGGGAATCTGAGAACTTTTAACAAATGTGATCTTGCATTTGCACCCTGAGCTTGGCTTACTGAAGAATACGTTAATTATGTCAGTCTGTGAACCTCCCGAACTAATGTGGCAGCCTCCTCTGGAAAACTACACGCAGTTTAAGCTATATCAATGTTTACACCAAAGGCATTTTGTCTCATATTTTATTATATCGATGACCCCTTACCTGGCTTTGCAAAATAAACGAGCATCACAGGAGCTGACTGTGATTACCTCCCGCCCTTTGGATATCTGATTTATGCCCTTTCTTTTAAGTAATGTTTACACTTGCAGACTTCT